CAAGCGAATTCAAACCCATTTATTTTACCTCCATTTTCCAGATTTTTTTTAAAAAAACAGTAAATTGTATCTCGGGTGGAGCACATGTGCGCCTTCATTGTTCTCAATGAAATAAAATAATTTAAATAAATGATTAAGCGCGCGCGTACGAAATGCACATTAAAACATGGGCACGTGCGGACTTGCTATCGAACTTTGCATTAGCCGGAAACTTACGTTCTGGACAACCTATCAAAGACATCAAAGCCCTTGCAAGTCAGCGAGCTCTCAAACGACTTTTGTGCCGCACGCGCTGCTTTGACGGCGCAAGGGCATTCCCGCGCGTTCTGTCCGAGCGACTGACAGCGGCGCCCGCCCGCTTGTTGCTCTTTCCTCTGAATTTCGCCGAGCAGCTTTGCGCTTGTTCGTTTGCGTTTGCTTTGTAATTAATGGGTCCGTTTACGCGGCCGTTGGCAGCTTTAAAAAATTTTAGATGATGTAAAACGTGCATTTATTCCTGTCGTCCGCAGCACAGCAGTACTGCACCCTCTCCCCCGATGCTACCCCCCCCCCGTGGCCACCGCGAAGCGATTTGCGAACGGCTAACGGACGCAGGTGCGCCCTTCGCAGGCGGCCGAGCGCGTCATCTTGAGGTACTGCACGCCAACTCAACTTGGTAAATGCAGTAATGAATTTTTAACTATTAACTACTACTATTTGTAAATAAGCTTACATTATCCCGAGTCCGGAGAAAACAGTAAATTTAAAGAAACAAATTTGCGACGAAATAATTGTATTTGCTTCTTTTTTTAAAAAAGTTCTTACGAATGTAAGGTAATGAACGTTTTAGGCTTTAGTTTATGACAAAAATTAAGTCAAAGCGCTTCTTTAATTAATGTTGTGTCTCGTCTAAATTCTCATTTTAAAGTATTTCGTTCAAAGCAATTTTTTGCAGTTTTTGTATTCCAAGAAAGTTTTGGGAATTGCTAAATTATTGTTTTTATATATTAGTTTTAACATTTATTACATAGCCGTTACATATTTATATGTTAATACACAACTTTGCCAAATACGTATTCTTTAAAAGGTCTTAAGCCACGCACGCGGGTTAATTTAGTAGTGTAGGTATTACGCAGCTAGTTTACAATGTTTTGCTTTATTGCGTAAGTGCTTGTTTTGAAAACGTGCAATGTTAGGAGTCAGTATTAACATTTGTACAATCTCCATAAAGCAACATTATAAACAAGTTGCATACGCTATTTGTTATTAATAACATTATACAATTATTGTAAAACATTAATGATTACTGAAACACGAACTTAATTAGCGTAGTTAGTTAGGTACATGCTTGACTAACTCTCTAACGTACTTAACTATTGATATTTCATTGTCTGTTGTCAATGCGTGATCGTATGGAAATGGAGTCAATGGCACAACATCGTTATAAGGTGACATAACCTCTCTCAAACGCCACGGAGCCTTGGCGGATAATGGCCTTCATCTGCTGTTGGGGGGCAGTGAGTGTAGTTTAGAATCGCCAAGACAATTGCATCTGGTGGAGAGACACCTGATGCAGGGGAATCGACTACAAATTAAATACCAGTTTCGACAAGTACTGACTTCTCTGTTACCAGTGTTTGAAATTGTACGTTAAATTTTTATTAATTAATTCGTGTTGTAAAGATACGTGGAGTTTAATTTTTACTTTCTCGCGCTGTAGAAAGTACGTCTTGAGCAGAGAAAGTTATGTAATGCCGCGCGAAAAAACGGCGAATTTTCGACCGAATAACTCTTGCTACAGGGCCTTATAAAGTAAAAGTGGATAAAGACACTTGCTAAATTTAGGAACAAAATCCTCTAACACGTGATGTAGCTAGAATCCCTGTTTTGTTGGTCCTTGATAACGAAAAATCGATTGGACGAAAAATGTCTGTCCGTCCGTCCATCTGTCTCTGAACAACGGAAACGGATTTCGACGAATTCTCCAAAATTGGTATTCCTCAATCGTAATAGCTGATGTGGCGGCCCCTTAATTTGAAATTGAGGTTTTAATTTTGGGGGATACTTTACATGAAGACCTTGGGACATTTCCAAGATATTCAAAAAATGGCGTCATCGAAGTCTGTTGGTGGATAGTCTGAAAGACGTTTTAGATAAGAGCGTAGGTCTCATATTCGTTAAAAACTCTGACTTTTCAACAAATAAAATAATCATTTTTTTCGGCATCTTCCTACAACTAAAATATTAAAGATATAGATTTTTTCTTTAATGTTATCTGATCCTTAAAGGTACATTATGAAAAAAGGTCGTGTACAATTTTTCGAAAATTTGAAATTTTTTGTGTAATGTTCTGTGAAATATAGGCAAAATGTAATGTTTGTTTAAACATTTTTTTCTCAAAAACGGCTTCATCGTTTTTAATATTATTTGTTGGTGGACAGTCTGAAGAACATTTAAGAAAATAGAGCAGTTCTCTTGTTGGTTGAAGATCCGGATATTTCGGCAAATGCACAAATTCAAAATTGTTTCGACGTCTTCCTACAACTACAATTTTGAAGATACATTTTTTCTTAATGAAATATGTTCATCAAACGCAGATTTTCAAATAAGGTCATGTTATTTTTTTCGAAACAATGAGTAATATTGAAGTAATGGGCATCAAAGTTTGTCGCTTGCTCTAAAAATACTGCGTTTCTTGATCGTGAATGCTACGTATGTTAGAATGTGTATAGTATTTCATATTTCATATTTATTAATTTATTTCATAGGAGCTTTTGTTATACGTTTACAAATTAATCTTCTAGAAATTATTTAGAATCTATTTGAAATAAAAATTAAATAAAGATTGTTATCCTGCAGCCACCCGCTCACAATTTACGCGGTTGGATTCTACGTATGTTAGAATTTGTATATTTTCATGTATCATTTTGTATCACAATTATAAATTTAGGTTAGTTCATTTTAAATTTCGTCCTTTAATAAGTTGTGTTAAATGTGGAAACGAATACGTGAGCGGTCATTGTTGGTTGCTGTTACCCATTGTAACGCCGCGCTGCACAGATAACACGCTGATGGCTGCTTTTAGTTCGCGGAAATAAAAGCGAATACTTTTATATATTTGTAGAATATTACAATACCATATTGTTTTATTATTACTATTATATATTTTTCGATCTACTTGTTGTCCAATGCTATCAGTATCGTATTATTTATTAACATTTAAACCTTTACTTTCTTGCACTCTGCCCTTTTTTCGCACCAAATGTTCTACGATTTCAATTGAGTTTTACAAAAATTCGAAAACTGTACTATAAAACGTTTTAAATAACCATTACTAATGGCGAGAAAGTGCTGTTTTAGTACCACTAGTTCTTTATTCCTGTAATGTAATATATTGCTCCTTTCTATTCTTTTCTTGTGTATGTCTGAATAAAAACGTTATTTTATTTGAGTAGTTTCATAATCCTTCACTTTCTGTACGATTTTCGTAGCCACAAAAGATTGTTTATAATGTTGGTGTACAAAAAAATATTATCGTCAGAATAAAAATGTTCTTTAGTCTGGAAGTTGCGTAGCTTTCCTTGAATTTATGCGGGTATTCCAAATTAGTAATGTAGATATCACAAAACAATTTCGTTGATTTCATTTCAGTAAAATTCACAGAATGCATTATGAATTGGGTTCTAGGAATACATTTTCTCGTACATCAGGTTATTTATTCATTTATATAAAATTTGCTGGCAGTAAATACAAAACGGAATGGCGAGAACTGAATTTCAGATTCACTGTCTGATTTATTGCTGATAAATGGAAACGTATTACAGTTAAAAATCTCTCTCAAAACTGAGAGCATCTGCATAGAGTAAACAACTTGAAAAAAGGTGTGAGAGCAATTTTTATTTAAATGAAATATTTTATTTTTACATATGTTTTGACGTGAACGAAAACACTTAGGTAACTGTCAATACTAGTGCATACAGCTGTCAATGCCACTGTATTCAGAAGTGCTTCTCATTGTACGTATTATATTTTCCATAATTTATTGCAAAAATGTATTTATAATAAAATAATATCACAATTTCCCCCTTAAACTCCTATCCTCCTAACGTAATTGTATAGTGGAATTTCTATTACAAACCCTTTATGATCGTCCAATAATATTAAAATGTTTCCCTAAATAAAAAGAATGTTTGAAAAGGTTATATGCATATCATTTTAGAAAATTTTATGAATACAAACTTAGTGATTGTTGTGTGCGCCTCCACGCTGAAAAAAAATTCATTTTCAAGAAGGTCATTTCGAAGTTACATTTTTCTCAGATCCCGCCGGCTTGTAACAATGTCTTGGTCGTGGTTTTGAGAAATTTTTAACGTGACCTTTACTTTACCTTACTGTTCCAACCTCTGCTATTCGCTTTTACAAGCAGCCCCTCATGCTCTCCCTCAACAGCTTTTTTGGTGCAAGACAAGCAAATAACTGAGTCAGCATCTAGAGCTAACGTTAATAATAAAGTAAACATTATAACCTACTCATAACAATTTTAATTAAATAGGATTAGTGCAAATAAAATTACAATGATTGTGTGCAAAAAGAAAAATGGAGACACAGACGAAAGCCTAGATCATCATTATCAAATCTCACTCGTCAAGCAAATTATATTCATTAATATAAATATTTAAAAAATGAATTTTGGTAATGTAGTATGATAATGTATGTAGTAAATGTAGTATGATAATGATAATGTATGTAGTAAAATAAAATTATATTTAAACTATATGTCTAAAAGAGTACTTTAGTTTCACTTTTACTCGTATTCACTACTGTATGTGGTAGTCAATACCATGTCATTTTTTAAACATTCAATTCTCTAATCTTATTCTTAGTTAGAAGTAGACCCCTTGGATTTCATATTGTTTCAATCTTTAATAATTATTATACGTTCCTGCTTATTTGACTCTCTTCGTTTTTTATTGTGTCTCTTTGTTTCGCTCTTTTACCTTACGATATCTTTTAAATTTCAGGACCACTTGCTGGTGAGTTTTCTTGGGCCTGGTCGATTCCTCCAAAGACATGCTTTCTTCTGTGAGACTGTTGGCTGTTGGGTAAGTAACGGATTAAAATACTGTCCGTGCAGTTTATACGAATCTACGTAATTGAACTTCATAAATTATAATTATTTTATTTCTAGAAGTGTTACATTTTGTGTTAAATAAGGAAATATTGAAATCTATATTATATACATAAAACAATGATGAATTGAAACTAACATTTCTATGTATGATTAATTTTGAAATAAGCATCTTAAAGATAGTTTAGCTATTGTTACCATAAATTACAAGCAAAAGTAATATATACTTAATAATTATATTTTGATTTTTTCTTTTACATTTCGATTTGTATATTTATAACATTCTGTTTTGAATGTCTACTTATCTAGATATGTACGTTGGCGATTCAAAAATTATCAGTAAAGTGAATATTTACTAAATATATATTTAAAAGCAAATATAAAAAGTATGTCAGTTTTGACATCTCTTTACTTTTCAATACACTTTTCATGCCGTTAGCCTAATTCTTTTACTCACCTTAAAGTTTTTTTAATTGTGCCTTCAACAAAAAATGCGGCACATTTTTTCATTTCATCACTCTCAAATCGCTGTTCTGTCAAAGCGACCTTCATAATTCCAAACCATGATAATACAAAGAAGACACATATGGAGAGATTTAGGATCTGAAATTTCAGTTTTTGAATAATATCAAGAGAGGGAACGAGCATTGTTGTAAATGAAAAGAACGACTCTTCTCCAACATTGTGCTGTGGCGGACACTATTCCTTGTTTCTCACCGTTCCTGATAATGCTTCAAAATCAGACTATTAATATTGTAGAAGACAGAGAAAACAACCTTACCGGAGAAGGGTTGAAAAGTGACCGTCAGGATGGCGAGAGCGTTGCTGTTCAAGGATTTTAAGCCAGCTTTCCACTCGAACACTTGTAAAGTAGTTTTCTTCTCTACAGAAGTTATCGTCGAACTTTCCACGATCCGTCTAACAATTTATCCAGTATTTAGGCCCTCTGACCACAAAAATATTGTTACCATTCGCTGTGTTTCTATTGAACACGTAGCTAGAGATATCGTCATTGTATTTTGTCTGTCCTGCGCATTGCAGGGGTCATTTATTTTCATGTGCCAACACATTCTCTGAGTAAGTTCCTCTCCTTCATGGGAATCTCAAATATCTGGAAAATTTGGTTCGGATAATATTATGAATTTGATGTTACTTTTTTAATCACTTTCGTCCATTCAGTTAACTCATCTAATGACGCCCAAAACGTGCTTATATTAAGGCTAAATGCACCAAAAAATACTTGTAGGAAAATTCAATAGATCGCTGCATTATCACAGGGGAATTTACTTTACTGATAACGTCTGAACCAATGGTCCGATTTTCGATTTGAAAACGGCATTTGACGTTTTTTTGACAAAAGAAAGAAATATAAGGACTTCGTTGTACATATTATTAATAATAATAAAAATAATAATAATAACAGTAACAATAACAAAAATAGGCACGCGTTTGGAGTAAAAACCAAAGTATGTACACTATAATATTCCTTATATCATACTATATAATCCATCGAATCTTCACTTCGATGTCTGTGTTCCCAAGATTTTGTGAAACTTCTTTATACTTCACGGAAAAAATCTTGAATTTTCTCGGAAGGCCTGATTCGGTCTGTCGATTGTGAAAACTATTGAGCAGATTGTTGCTCCAAATGCATCGGGCGGTTGGTCTTTCATCGCCACCTGCCGCAAAGGGATAGAGCAGGGACTAGGGCACGAACGAGCCTGGACTCACGTAAAGTGGCCGTGGGGGATGGGGCCCCGGGATTTCCAAGTCCAATATGCCACTGGGACAGTGGTTCGCAAATAGACAACGTGGGAAATGCTCACACCAAGTTCACTGATCGGCTCGCTTACTCGGTGTTTTTCTCCGCTTCACACGTCCTGCTCCATGTCCACGTGTCTACTACGTCTGTTCATCCCCGAGCCACCTCATTCTTATTGTTGGGAGCTGACTCGATTGCGAGGCTGAAGAATGCGCTCAATGTTCTTGAAAGCTGCCTCCCACCCCGCCTAATCTGTAACTACTAGCTGTCCCAAATATATTACGCCAAGTATCCATAGGCAAGAATTAAAACATCATACGAGAATAAGTAAAACAAATAAGCAATAAGTAGATGTCATCAGTGTGTAATTTTGTATCTTCACAATATGGCCTTTTCTTACCGGGAGTACTTCAGCTGCCCCACAGTTCGAACAGACACTTCACTATTGTTTACTACCCGAAAATTGCTGTTATGCAGCGTGTGTTGAAGAAAGCTCGAATTCTTTTCTTTGTCACACTTCTTAATAACGAGACGTATATTTTCCCTAGCTCAACTGTGTATTGTTTGGCCTTTACTACGAACAGAAGCCATACCGTTCCACCAAAAGTCACAAACCAAAATAAAATGAATACGCTATACACTTGTGTTACGAACAAGAAGCAAACAACATGTCACTCAATCATTGAGTTCTTGTCTTCTCAGAACAAGAAATATTCTATATTAGATGAAGTGATACTGAACCTCATGCAATGTTGTCAAAGCAGATATACTATTTCCTCGACTGCTCGCGTGGGCGGTAAATTGCAAAACACGTCAATATGCTGAATACTTACACTGTATACTTCGGCGAATTCTTTAGTTCTATCTCGTATGTACGACAGATGACCGTAATATTTAAATATGCGGTTTATTAAAGTTTTGGAAATATATTTATTTGTGCAATGTAATTGAATTATCCTCACTATTAAAGAGAGATTATTATCAAAATGTCGCCTTGCGAAAGATGAGGCGTCAAAAATCGTTACACTAGTGTGGACACTTTTCAGGTTTTCAACGTCAAAAGTAATTTGTTGAGACCGCAAAGTGTGAAAGTGGCTTTTAGATTGTACTATCTCAGGTACTAAAAACTTCGATTTATATACTGCGAGTATACTGCACAGTGTTTGTAAACATTTCTTTCAATAAAAGTGCACCACTCTTCAGTGCAAGAAGTTGCAGAGACAACCACTAATTTTTCATAATTTACATTTTTCATGTCACAAACATCATGTGCTAACTTTTAGAATTACGTTGGTTAGTCACAAAAGCTTTGTGTTATCTCTTTTTATCTGCCTGTTAGTCTGTACAAAAGAGATTGTGAAAGTATGGCATGTCTGTCCTAGCGACTCCGATCTCACAGTCACACCTTGATTTCGGTGCTTTTGAATAAATGTGAATTGAAATAATAATAATACTAATAATAATAAAAACAAAATTTACATTGTAAATAACCGCGGGTACATGCATAAAATGAACCAAGAAATTCAAAATTATAATTTATTTTTAGTTTACGAGACAAAACTTTCCCCGATGTTACCAGTAATTGCAGCTCGGGTCATGAAAATTCAAGTCTCCCCCCTTGTCGCGTACGTAGAGTTATCGAGCTTCGCCGGAACAAGAACCTTCACCAGTGTTGCGCTCGCTCGCTTGCTCGAGAGCATTCGGCGCAGCGCAGCCGATAACTTGTGAAGCAACCTTCCCCAATTCGCTCACTTGCCTTGGCCGAGTGGAAGGACGGGAATGTTCTGTGTTTCTGTCGGTCTGTGTGTCTGTCCTGTCGGACTGTATTTTGTGCGTATGAAAATGTGTGTTTGTCGTGGATGGAAATGTTGGGAGACTTATACTGCCGCAAGAAATATTCAACAATTTGAGTTAACATTTATAATGTCCAGAAAGTCAATAAGTAGTAAATGAACTATAATTTTTCTACTGTTTTATTTAGTTCGGTTTTGGTGTCTACATTTCTTTGAACATCTATTTGTCTTTAGAGTTACGATTTAAAATCGAACAATGTTTCTTAAAGGCATTTCCACTCACACTAATCTATAAGGTTCATTTAATACAGAGCTTTGATGCATGGTGATTAGTCTCGTGAATGCAGTGCATGTTGAATTGCAGGAAATGGGAGTCATCTTGCCAACCAGGATTCTTGTTAAGCCAATCATGATTCTTGTTGAGCCAACTAATACCCTTTTTGATCCAAACAAAATCATTGTTCAGACAACCATGATCCTTCTTAAGCCAACCAATACATTAGTCGAGACAACAAATATCCTTGTTGAGCCAACCAATATCCCAGTTGAGCCAACCAAAAACCATTTTGATTCAACAAATAACCTTGTTGAGCCAACCCATATACTTGTTAAGCCAACCCATATCCTTGTTTAGCAAACCAATATCTTTTTTGAGCCAACCAATATCCTTGTTGAGCCAACCAATATCCTTGTTAAGCCAACCCATATCCTTGTATAGCAAACCCATATCTTTTTTGAGCCAACTAATATCCTTGTATAGCGAACCCATATCTTTTTTGAGCCAACTAATATCCTTGTTAAGCCAACCATGATCCTTGATCTTTGTATGTTTCGTAATCCTGGTAAGCCAACTATGATACTTGTTAAGCCAACCAAAATCCATAAGTGGAAGATCAACCCAGCAATCGATCAAGTGAGAGATCGACCCAGCAAGTCGATTAAATGAGGGATCGCCCCTGCAAGTCAATCAAGTGGGAGATGGACCCAGCAAGTCGATCAAGTGTTGGAGAGACCTAGCAAGTCGATCAAGTGGGGGATAGAACCAGAAAGTCGATCAAATGATTGATCAACACAGCAAGTCGATCAAGTGGGGGATAGACCTAGCAAGTTGATCAAGTGGGGGATGGACCCAGCAAGTCGATCAAGTGGGGGATGGACCCAGCAAGTCGATCAAGTGGGGGATGGACCCAGCAAGTCGATCAAATGATTAATCTACCTAGCAAGTCGATCAAGTGGAAAAATAGCCAAGCAAGTCGATCAAGTCAGAGATGGACCCAGCATATCGATCAAGTGAGGGATCGACCCAGCAAGTCTATCAAATGGTTGACTAAGCTAGCAAGTCGATCAAGTGGAATAATAGCCCAGCAAATCGATCAAGTCAGAGATGGGCCCAGCACGTCGATCACGTACGAGATGGAC